GATCTCAATCAATAATAAAAAGAAGGGTTTGGGAGAGAATCTCATCTGAAGAACTGAATGAAAGATCATCTTTCCTATTTAAAAGCTGATCTAATTTCTGATATCCTTATTTTTCAATCTCTAACCTTCTAAGATTCAAACGTTTGGTAGAAATGTTTTAGGAGACACCCCTAGAAAAAAATGTTATGAACAGAATAGAATAGAACAGAACAGAACAGAAAAGAAAGAACAGAATAGAATAGAATAGAATAGAATAGAATAGAATAGAATAGAATAGAATAGAATTCTTTATTGGCCAAGTGTGATTGGACACACAAGGAATTTGTCTTGGTGCATACGCTCTTATTGTACATAAAAGAAATGATACGTTCATCACGAATCATAAGGTACAACACTTAATGATAGTCATAGGTTACAAATAAGCAATCAGGAAACAATATCAATATAAATCGTAAGGATACCAGCAACAAAGTTACAGTCATATAGTCATAAGTGGAAGGAGATGGGTGGTGGGAACGATGAGAAGATTAATAGTAGTGCAGACTTAGTGAATAGTTTGGCAGTGTTGAGGGAATTATTTGTTTAGCAGAGTGATGGTGTTCGGGGAAAAACTGTTCTTGTCTCGTCTACCGTGTTTCCTGAAAATAAGACCCTGTCTTTTTTTTTTTTTTTTTTTTCTGAACCCTGAAATAAGCACTTAGTCTTATTGCCATGCACTCAAAAACCCAATTGGGCTTATTATCAGGGGATGTCTTATTTTGGGGTAAACAGGGTAGTTAATTTGGAAATCAAAAAAGGGGTTTTAAATAACTGTTGCATAACTTGGTTGGCTCACTACATGTATAACCATTTTGCTTCTCTCCTCTGCAGTCACATCGCTAAAATGCCAGACCTGTTTGGCCACTAGAGGAGAATGTAGAAACGAGGACATGGCATTGACGGAGTGTGAACCAGACCAAACACATTGCCTTTCCTTGACTTTCTTTATTTCTCTGAGTGAGTGAAATGTCTTTTCAGTTTAGCTGACAAGTCCATATTACCATCACTCAGTATCTCAAGCATCAAGGAATAGGTCAGTTTCCTTGAAGGTGGATTTCACCATTGACTTCAACGTATTCTGCCAATTTCAGTGGGTTATATTTACTAGAAATGTTCTGTTGGCAAAAAATATTGTTTTCTGTTGCTCTGTCGTACATGGAAAACACAGGGAGAAAAGTGGTAAGAGAACGAAAGGGATGCAGTGTTCATTTAACTGTGCAGAATAGTTTCTAGAAGTTCACCTGTCAAAATAAACTCTTCCTCCTTCCCTGAAATAAATGGAGGAAACCATCTCCAATGCGGTAATTTTGTGCCTTGAAATGCCTGCTTCTGTGCTCTTTCTCCTATTAAGGAAAACCATATCATCTTCTCGACCAGTCAACATCTATTAATAGAAGGGATCTCAAATAAAATATTTAATCGAGTACGGTGCTTTTTAAATATTGCCTTTATTTTGTTTTGTTTTTCCTAAATCCCAGCATTTCCTCTCTGTTTCACAGCCACTCCTTCACTCAGATACACGGCTAAGTCTTGTGCAAGGGCTGAGGAATGTACTGATGGCTTTTACAGTATCACCTCCGCACAGGGAAAATATTCTCAATCGAACTTTTTCTGTTGCCAGTCAGACGGTTGCAATACCCTGCCTCTTCTGTGTAAGTAACTCAACTCAATGTTTCTTTGCATAGCCTTAAATTTGGCAGTACTGTGGGCAGGGAGTGAGAAAGCCGGGGGAGCAAATTTGACCCAGTTTAAGGAGAAAGCAAGGAGATGCTCAGTAGCCCAGTGGCTAAGACGCTGAGCTTGTTGATCGAAAGGTTGGCAGTTCAGCGGTTCGAATCCCTAGTGCCACGTAACTGGGGGAGCTCCTGTGACTTGTCCCAGCTTCTGCCAACCTAGCAGTTTGAAAGCACGTAAAAAAAAATGCAAGTAGAAAAATAGGTGTTTAGCCATGCCGGCCACATGACCACGGAGACGTCTTTGGACAGCGCTGGATCTTCGGCTTTCAAACGGAGATGAGCACCGCCCCCTAGAGTCAGGAACGACTAGCACAGATGTGTGAGGGGAACCTTTACCTTTTAAGGAGAAAGCAACAGCACCAACATACATGCCTCCAAAGAGATGTAAAGTTTCAATGGAGCAGCAAGCTTTAGGGGGAGAGAGGGTGAGGAATAACAGAATAACAGAGTTGGGAGGGACCTTGGAGGTCTTCTAGTCCAACCCCCTGCTCAAACAGGAAACTCAATACCCGTGATGGAGAACCTATGGCACGCTTGCCACAGGTGGACACGCAGCTCAGCTCTGGCACACATACGTGCACTGCCCAGCTGATTTTTGGGCCATCAGGGCCCACCAGAAGTAAGGAAACACACTGTTTCCTGCCTCCGGAAGACCTGGGGGGGTGGGGAAGACCCGTTTTTCTTTCTCACCTGGCTCCAGATCCTCTCTATGCATCTGGGGAGGGCGAAAACAGCCTTCCCCACTCCTTCAGAGGCCTTCCCGACTCCTGAAACAGCCCATTTCCCAATTCCCGGTGGGACAGGAAGTGACTTTTTTGCTGTTCTCCAGCCTCCAGAGACTCCTAGTGAGGCCCTGGAGGCTGGGAACAGTAGCAGGGGGGAGGGGGGTTGCAAGCACATGCACAGGGCTGGGCACATAGAATTATGGGTATGGGCATGCATGAGTAAACCTCCCCCACCACCCTCCTGGCACACAATGGCAAAAAGGTTAGCCATCACTGCCCTATACCATTTCAGACAAATGGTTATCCAATCTCTTCTTTAAAAATGATGACTTAATGAAAGTTCATTAGTTGAGTGGGCCATTGTTGGGTCAACCACAGGTAGTCCTCAATTTACAGCCACAATTGAGCCCCAAATTTACATTGCTAAGTGAGAAATTTGTTACATGATCTTTGCCCCATTTTACGACTTCTCTTGCCACATTTGCTAAGTGAATCACTGCAGTTGTTGAATTAGTAACACGGCTGTTAAGTGAATCTGGCCTTCCCCATTGACTTTGCTTGTCAAAAGGTCGCAAAAGGGGACCACACCACCCCAGGACACAGCAAACTGTCATAAAAGTGAGTCAGTTGCCAAGCATCCGAATGAAAATCATGCGACCATGAAGATGCCGCCGTGGTCATAAGGGGTGAAAAATGGTCATAAGTCACTTTTTTCAGGGCCGTTGTAACTTCAAACGGTCACTAAATGAACCGTGGTAAGTCGAGGACTACCTGTATAAGATAAAAACAGCAGCTATGTGTCAGTGGAGAACATGGCAGTGAAGCAACCCAGGTTAAAATGGCTGCCTAGAGTTGCAGTCAACCATTAGAGGAGAAAGAAGAGCTTCAATCAGTAGTGAGTTGTTACTGGTTCTCCCCGGTTTGGGTGAACCGTTAGCAGTGGCGGCAGGAGACTCCGCCCACCCACCCAGATGTTTCTGCACATGTGCAGAAGCATCATGCGTGTGTGTGAGCACACGCGCACCCACAACCGGTAGCGACGATTTTTGAAACCCACCCGTGGCTTCAATTACTGAAGTTGCCAATCAGAGCTAGGATTGTCCTAAGGGGAAGTGAGCCCTACAGACTATTCTCTCAAAAGGGCTCATAAGGGGTCAAGAGGAGGGAGGGAAAACATCTATTCTGAAGGGGAGCTTCAGAACATGCCTCAGGGTGGATTTGTGATGGAGAAGATGGATTGAGGTGCCATCCTCATTCCTGGTCCAGCTCTACCTTCACACTCTTGGATTACAAATCCTGTCCTGGATGGGAATCCTGGAAGCCAGAATGCAAAAGGACTTGGGATTTAATATGGGACGGTGGCCATGAAAATGTTTGCTAACCTTGGGTTGATTCCTACAGTGCCATTCCGTGATGAACTCAAACCCAATGGATTGGTATGTTCTGGATCGTACACAAGACACAGAGATTCCCACCAGCCAACTCAGCCAATTATCTGCCTTGGCCAAGAGACGCGTTGTGTCAACATGAATTTGACCATCAATACATGTGAGTGCAATCTTTTTGTTTTGTTTTTTTTCCCCTAAATCAGAGAAACGATAGAAAGAGAAGAAGAAAATCCCTTCTCCGGAGACTCAGGGAGGCTTACAATGTGTTAAGCAATAGCCTTCATACTTTTGTATATTTATACAAAGTCAGCTTTTTGCCCCCACAATGAGGGTCCTCATTTTACTACCTTAGAAAGGATGGAAGGCTGAGTCAACCTTGAGCCTGGTGAGATTTGAACTTGCAGTAATTGCAGGCAACTGATGTTAATAATAGTGCTTTTAGTCTGCTGAGGTAAAGTTGGGGGAGGAGATTAAAAATTTGGGAGAGGGAGAGTAAACTGACTGCAGGATGGCTCAAAAACATCGAAAGAGCATCCATTGCCGAGCTGCTGAAGTTAAAGGTCTAATTACAGTGATGGGAATCAAAGAATTTAACACCCAGTTCTCTGCCCTAATGACCGCTGGGTGGGTGTGGCCATGGTGGGCGTGGCCAGGGGGTGTGACAGGCAGCATGTACAAAGGATTTTCCCAAAGAGTGGCTACGCTCAGGATTTTGTCAAGAGGAAAACTATCTTTGTTTTCTAATATCCTCGCAATAACGTCTCAGATTCTTATTCTTCCTTTTTTTCCTCCACAGTTGGAGCTATCCAAGAGGAGGGTTGGATCCAAGGATGCGGAACCCCAAATGTATGTACCTATCCTGAAGGAGAGATGCGAATGGCCAATGGCCTTGTAGTATTCAGCACCACGAAGGAGTGTAACACTGTGCCATTATCACTTGACAACAGTTTCTTTCCATGTAGTCAGATTATAGCCTTCTTCCTTTGTCTTTCAGGATGTATAAAAGTGAGAAGGAGGTTGGAGCTTCGGTAGTAAGAGTAACAGAGGTTTGGGGTTAAGCATTCTTGAGAGCTTGGTAGTAATTTAAAATATGGAGGAGCAGTCCTGAGAAGGTTGAAATGCTGTGTTTGGGGCTACTAGCAGCTGAGGGGAAGGTGGTTTTTCTCTAAACATTCCATTTTCACTAAATCATAATGACAATAAATTGTGGTGTTGAAAGCATTTGTGTCTGTGTATTTT